GCCGCGGAGCGGCTGGGCCCGTGAGCCATGGCCGCTGAGCCTGCGCGTCCGGAGCCTGTGCTCCGCAGTGTGAGAGGCCACAGCAGTGAGAGGCCCGCGTACCACAAAAAAAAAAAGGAAGTTCTGACACATGCTACAACATGGATGAACTTTAAAGACATAATGCTACATGAGAAAAAGGATACAAAAGTACAAATATTGTATGATTCCTCTCACATGAGTGGTCAAATTCATAGAAACAGAAAGCTAGAAGAGGGAGACGGGAACGAGGTGCCGTCGGCTATTGGGCAGAGAGTTTCATTCATGGGAAAGAAAGGACAAAGTCCTGGGGACGGATGGGGTGATGGCTGCACAATGATGTACACACTTAATGCCACAGAACCAGACACCAAAATGATTAAAATGGTTAATTTTGTTATGTATATTTTACCACACAAACACAATGAGATACCATTTCATACCCATTAGGATGGCTAGAATCAAAAAGTCAGATAATAACAAGAGTTGATGAAGATGTGGAGAAACTGGAACCCTCATACATAGCTGGTGGGAATGCAAAGTGGTACAGCTGCCGTGTAAACATTTCCTCAAAACGCTGAAGCAGAATCACCACATGACTGAGGTGTACAGTTGGCCCTCCATATCCATGGGTTCTGCATCCACAGATTCAACCAACCATGGATTGAAAATATTTGGGGGAAAAAAAATTCCAGAGAGTTCCAAAAAGCAAAACTTGAATTTGCTGCAGACAGGCAACTACTTACATAGTATTTCTATCGTATTAGGTATTATAAGTAACCCAGAGACGATTGATAGTGAACAGGAGGATGTGCATAGGTTATATGCACACACTATGCCATCTTCTGTTTGTTTTTTGTTTTTTTCCTGGCCACACCACACACCATGTGGGGTCTTAGTTCCCTGACCAGGGATTAAACCCACACCTCCTGCATCGGCAGTGTGGAGTCTTAACCACTGGACCACCAGGCAAGTCCCCACTATGCCATTTTATATAAGGAACTTTAGCATCCTCGGACTATGGTATCCACGGGGGGTCCTGGAACCAATCTCACATGGATACTGAGGGATGACTACATTCCCAAAAGAAATGGAAACACATGTCCATACAAAAAACTGGTACATGAAAGTTCACAGCAGGATAACTCATAATGGCCACAAAGTGGAAACAGTGCAAGTGTACATCAACTGATGAATGGATAAAAAAATGAGGTCTATCCACACAATGGATTATTGAACTATAACAATTTTTAGGAATGAAGTACTGATACTACCACACAGATGAACCCTGCAAATACTACACTAAATGAAAGAAGCAAGTCACACAGGACCACATACAGAGTGTACGATTCTATTTAAATGAAACATCCAGGATAGGCAGATCCATAGAGACAGGAAGCAGATTTATGGTTGCCAAGGGCTGAGAAGAAGAATAGGGAGTGATCACTCCTGGGCACGGAGTTTCTTTCTGGGGTGATTAAAACGTTCTGGAATAGAAAATGGTGATGGTTGTACAATTTTGTGACTATACTAGAAGAGAATTGAATTGTACACTTTAAAATGGTGAATTTTATGGCAAGTGAATTACATCTTAATTTTTTAAATTATGATTTCTTTTAGATGAGTAGTTAAAACATTTTTATCAAGTCATAATAAAAGGGGTATTCTGGTAATGATTACTTTTCACCTTACAAAATGTACAATATTTTCTTTTATTAACAAAAATTAGACTAGAAATATTAGATGCCAAATTAAAAATACGTGAGAAGTTGTATGTTTTCAAAATTCCCTTAAAACTTATTCTGGCAAAAAATGCCTGATTACTGCTGTTCTAGATGTGGGTGCACATGGCACATTCTGTATCATTTCTGGCCTCTAGAGTGGCCAGTGACACACTGACAGAAGCTGTCCCATCTGGACAACTCACACACCCCTGGTCAGCCAGGAACCAGTCCTGTCTTCCTAACACTCCAAGGAACACAGGTGAAGCTCTCCTGAAGCATCCTCCGCCTCAGTGTGTTTAGGAAAAGGAAAAATTATCCCTCTGCTCCTTCCTAAATTAAAGCCCCTTACCGAATGACTGCTGGAGGTATGAAGTGAGAAATGTATTTTATATTCCTCTTGTTATAAAGGTCTACAACAGGTGTCATAATGTGGCTGGCTTGTTGACAAATGCTACTAGGAGAGCTCCACTTTGACAACACTTAATAGAGTTCTTAGTTCCAACGTACCTAGAAGTGAGAAAAATTAATTCAAATTATCAGATACTCCCCAGAACATTGTATTCATGTGCAGACAACCTCACTTTTGTATTTGAAGGCATTTCTACATTTTTATTAGTAACTGGCCTAAGCGCTGTTGCTTGAACCACTTTAAAGATTTTAGGATAAAGATTTAAAATACTAACCAAAGCTTTCATAGGGTTCTTCATCTTTCTCATTTTCACCCAGCCTGCCGATGCTTGAGATCCCAGAATTATCAGGAAAATCAAATACATTGGTAGGCTTGTGCTTTGGGCCAGCTTCCTAAAAGTGAATAAAGTTCAAAGTCATTGAATTGGCCCTCCCAAAAAGAACATTACAAAGCTGATTTGCGTGGCAAGGATCCTCCCACTATCACCGCAGCCTAAGAAGTGAGCCTTCACACTCCTGGGGGGCAGAGGCTCTTCTGATCATCTGAGGCAGGGATTGGGAAGCTTCTCTATGAAGGACCAGGGGGTAAGCACAGCTGACCACTGAACAACGCAAGGCTCAGTGGCGCGCACCCTCTGCGCAGCCAAAACCCCCGTGTGACTTTGCAGTCGGCCCTCCCGATCCGGGGTTCCACATCTGCGGTGGTTTCAACTGCGGATAGTGTAGAACCTACTATTGAAAATAATCCGGGTAGAAGTGGACCCTCCCAGTTCAAGGGTCACCTGTATATTAGACTTGGCGGGCCCGTGGGGACTGGTGCCACTACACAGCGCAGCCACCGCAGTGTGAAAGCAGACAGTGGCAACGCAGAAAGCAGCAGCACGGCTGGGCTGCAATCAAGCTTTGTGTGTGGATACTGAAACTTGACTTTCATATTTTCACATGGCATGAGACACTCTTGATTTTACTTCAGTCATTTAAAAATATAAAAACCACCCTTAGCTCGCAGGGCTTTACAAAACCAGCAGGCAGGCTAGATCTGGCCCACAGGCCACACAGCCTGCCAACTCCTGAGCCCATGTGGGCCTCTCCCCAGAAACATGCCCATGAAAATTCCTAAACACAGAGGTTAAAAACTCCTGATTGCAGGAAAGAGACGAGGGTTTACAGTGCAATATACTAATAAGCCCCAGAAAGACTGCCCCTCAAATCCCAATGAAAGACAACATATAGAAAATGGAAAAACATCCACAGTAGCTCTGGAAAATGTGGAGGGCTGCGATTAACAGACAGGAAAATATGAAGAAATCCTGGAAGATATACAGGAGATGGAATAAAACTGAGAGACAAAACAGAAACTACCACTCACAGACCCTCAGGGCAAAATGTTTCACAGAGTGTGTGTGGGTAGGACAAAGGCCAAAGAGGAGCTGACACCCTCCATCCTTCTCAAGCAGATGGGCCTTCTCGAGGAGGGAAGAGGACCGGAAAGCTGAAAAAACCCTGCCAGAGAGGGAAAGGGCCCCCTCCAAACGGGGAGGGGGTTAGGGGAGCAGAGGGGAGAGACCCTGCCCAAAAGAGAACACCGGGGGAAGGGCACAGAGCAGGGAGAGCTCCCGACGCCCGGGCACCCCCAAGCAGGCACTATCAGAGGTTCATGTGAATTTCCAAGGCCAATTGGACAAGCCGCTGGAAAATACTCTGAAGTGAGCTAGCCAGAGGGTTAAACAAATGCACCTGCCTTTCACAGACATTTACTTTTAAGACTCCACCCTGAAGTAAAAATACCATGTGAATGTGAAACTAAATGGAATATTATGAAATCATAAACTGTGGAAAACGATAACAACATGGAGAAATGGCTACAAGTGACAAAAGCAAAATACAGAGTATTGTACAATTGTTCAACGATGTCGATTATCCAAATGAAAATGAAACCAGCCTAGGCCGAGAACAAAAGATTCAAAAACGTTAACAGTGGCCATTTTCTCCATTATACTGGAAAGAGTAGGAGGAAAAGGAATATGCTTTTTCACAAGAAAACACTGAGCTTACCAAGTCTATGAAACTCTGAGTCTCCTATAAAACGTTATTTTGTATTGTCAATTACAAGAAAAATTATATTAAAATATAAAAAAGATAACTTACATCTTTTGTGGAATGTGTTCTTCCTACAATGTTCTTTGAATATCTCGTACTAGGAAACAGCAAAAACACACACAAGAGTTAGGAAATACTTAAAAATAACTTGGGGAAACACCAGAATTACACCTCATCCAAGCATTTTCTTTCCAAATTACATTCCTTGTTAGTTGCACTAACAATGTGCACATGATGAAATTCAGGTACTGGCAAAATCCTTTTAGAAAGTAGAACCCATATCTCACACATTGAGTTAAATTTTTTATAGGGCAACTCATAACACCTACGTATAAATAGCATAGCTCTGCCCTCAGGGACACAGAAAACTCCTAAGGCTGCCGTCATCCTTTGTCCCTCAAGTTGCAATCAACAGCAACGGCTGGCGTTCTGCAGCAATGAGCAAGAGAGCTCTTTCTCTTTCTCAGGCACTGGGCCCCCGTTCCATCCATGCCTGGCTCTCTTACACACATTTTCTCATTTAGCTCTGAAACAGTCCTCAAGGTAGAAGTGAATCCCACATTCCAGATATGTATTTGCCCAAAGCCACAGGCGGTCAGGAAGGAGGGAAGCCTGCGTTAACATCTGCATCACTTCAAACCCAGAGCTGCCCTCTTTCCGCCCTTCAGGCTCCCTCCAGTGGGCATCAGGATAAAAGGATAAAGTTGCGTACCTTCAACGGAGCTTAAAGTAAACAAGATATGACAATAGTGACCAGAAGAAAAAATGGAAATATGAGAGGAAGGAAATAATCCCGCCAGGGACTATGCTTTGAGTATCCTCTGTGGCCCAGGCATGGTGCCAGGGTTGGGGGGATGCCCTACACCACCACGCACAGGCCCTGACTTTCAAAAGTGCCCTGCAGACACCCGTTAGCGGAGAGCAAAGTCCATTTCGTGTCTGAACGAGTATTTCTTTGTGGAACAAGTATTTATTTGATATAATTTCAAACTTAGAGAAAAATTGAAAATACTCTAAGAACCTTCTGTGTACCCTTTACCTGCTTCACCAACTGTTTACATTTTGTCCCCCCTGCTTCCTGTGTGTCTGTGTATGGTAAAATGGGGACACTGCAGTGTGTCTTTCCTAAGAGGGTGTTACCTTGTGTAGTCACAGTACAACTTCCGAATCAGGAAATTTAACACTGACATCATTATCTAATCTACAGTCCATATACAAGTTTCATCAACTGCCCCATCATGTCCTTTAAGGTTTTCCCCCAGCATTAAAAAAAAATAAATACAAGAGAATATAAAACATAAGATTTCTTAAACCTTCGGTTTTATTATGTGTGTGCGTACATGCACGTTTGTGTACCCGTTGTGATGTAAAACATCATTACTGTGAATTACAGTAAAAAAAAAAAAGTTGGAAAACTGTTAGAGCAGTGGTTCTCAATCCTCAGGTATCAGAATCACCTGGAGGGCTGCTTAAATAAAACAAGACTGCTTGGCCCCAACTCCAGAGCTGCTGATTCAGGAAACCTGGGGTGGCCGCTGGGAGTCTGCATGTCCAAGTTCCCGGTGGAACCACATTTGAAAACCACTGCTCTATTTGATTCTCAGACCCAAAAAAGAAGGTAGAGCACATACTAGTTTTACGGCCTTTACGATTCTGGGGTTCAGAAAAGTTAAGTGACATCAGTGGTCACACAGCCAAGTGATAGGACGAGAAACCAGATCATACAACTTAACCCACTCTTTCCACCCTTTCTTGCTTTGTCTGTGCTCAAAAAAGTGGTCAAGTTCCCTCCTCACCTTAGACTAGGAGCAAGGTGAGGCTCCCAAAAGATGGAAACCTCGGTGATAACATACGTAAAAAATTTTGGTGTATGCGCATTAGTGCATTTTAGGGGGAGGGATAAACAGATTTCAGGAGTCTCAAAGGCAAAAATGTTAATATGTACGTGTATACGTGTGTGGGGGGGGAGGAGGGAGGGAGGGAGAGAGAAAAAACCCCACTGGCCGATCAGATAAAGTTTCACTCTTGTCTGCTGAGTTTCAGGCCCCTTATTCTTTCCCAACCCTCCTCCCCGCTGGCCACGGGAGCCTAGTCTCGTTCACTTAACTGCCCTGCTCCAGCCTGGTCCCTACGCTGTTTGGCTGCCTGCACCCTCACCCGCATCTACAAATGCACCTTCTCCAGACCGCCTTCCCAACGGCCCAGGTGGAACTCCTAAGGCCTTGAGTACCAGCCGGAGCGCGAAGCACGCCGAGGCCCCTCCAGCCAGGGCCACACAGGGCCTTGGATGCACTCCAGACACCACCAGCGAGACACGTGCCCGTGAGTCCATGAAGAATAACATTTTAGAGAGCAGTTTTGTAACCTATTTTAAAATGCATGCCCTTTTTGATTAAAAAAAAAAATGCTTGACTCATCCCGGCTGGAGGCCCTCTTTAAGAAAAACAAGCGGCAGCTGGGGCCCCCGCGTCGGGAGATTTAGTTCAGCTTTACAGTCTGTAGTTTGTTACAAAAACAAGCAGGGTCTTGAAAATAAGAATACTGACTACCAGCCACAGTGTAAGCGTCACTAGAACGTAATGTCTGGCAAGTAGTAGGCACTCATTATTTGTTAGTTTCAAAATATTTGGAGTCTACTTTAGGCTACACTCACCCACACAAAGTAATGCTGACACTAGCCAACGTTCTCTCCTCCCCGCCGGCCACGGTTTTAAACTGACTCCTTTAAACCTCACCGTAATCCTTCCAAGGTGGGAATATTATTATTCCCATTTTACCGACGGGGAAACCAAGGCCCTGAGAGGTTAGTCACTAGGACAAGTTGCACAGTGGCAGAGCCAGGGAGCACGAACAGCTCCGAGAGGCCGAAGCCCGGCGGAGAAGGAAAATAAACCGAACCCCCAGCCCAGCGCCCCGAGAAGCCACAGCACTTACCCAGAGCGCCGCACTTGCCGCGGCGGGGCCATCTCAGCCTACCGCTCACTGCGCCGGCGCAGCTCCCGAAGTTCCCGCCAAACCCCGCGCTGCTCCCAGCGGCCAATCCGGGCTGAGGACGCGGGCACGCCCCCTCCCGAGCTTGCTTCCTACAGGGCCAGGGCTCCTCCCCGTCCTAGAGCAAGAGAGAAAACTCGGCCTGGCACATCGCAAAAGCGGAGCTGGAGTTTACGCCTTACAAGCAGTTCCTGACGGGTCCACGAGACGCCAAAGATTTCCCGGGTTTTCCCTCACTCCACGTCCCCCGCGCACGTTTTCCGCGCTCCGGAGCCGCCAGGGCCCGCCCCAGGGGGCGAGGAACGGGAGGAGCGAGTGCCGGAAAGTCGAAGGGCGCACTCCCGCGAGGGGCGTATCCAAACCCAGGGCGGGGCGCGCTGGGTGCTTAGGCGCCTGCGCAGTTGTCTAGTGTAATGCATTGGAAATAGGCTTTGACTTTTACCCTGCTGCTGCCCTGAAGCAGTGGTGTGAGCTTGGCTTATTATTTCTACCCCAGTTTCTTCATTCGTAAATGCGGAGGGCCCCTTTTAATATTCTCTGATTCTTTGCTTTGTGTTTAAAAATGTACCTTTATCACACCATAAATAAAAATGAACTTAAAATGGATCAAAGACCTAATTGTAAGAGCTAAAACTCTGAGAAGAAAACACAGGGCAAAACCTTCACGACATTGGACTTGGCAATGATTTCTTGGATGTGACAGCCAAAAGCACAGTTTGGGATGATGAAAAAGTTCTAGGTGGTTAATGGTGGATGGTTGCACAGCAGTGTGAATTACATAAGTAACTGTACATTAAGTTGTACAGTTAAAAATGGTTAAAATGCTGAACTTTATGTCATGTACCGATACCACAATAAAAATTATTATATTTCATGCGTACTAAAGAATATAACATATATAACGTAAAGACAAAAAGGAGCACCTATGTGCTCACCACTGGGTTAGGAAAGTAATAACGGTCATTCCTTCCACGGATAACCACTCTTCTGATTTTGTGTTTCTCATTCCCATGTTTTTCTACCTTGATATATCCCTAAATGATGTATTAATTATTGTATGGTTTTTTTTGTTTTTTTTTTTTTGCGGTACGTGGGCCTCTCACTGTTGTGGCCTCTCCCGTGGCGGAGCACAGGCTCCGGACGCGCAGACTCAGCGGCCATGGCTCACGGGCCCAGCCGCTCCGCGGCATGTGGGATCTTCCCAGACCAGGGCACGAACCCGTGTCCCCTGCATCGGCAGGCGGACTCTCAACCACTGCGCCACCAGGGAAGCCCTATTGTATGTTTTTAAACTTTATATAAATGATATTTGGTATGTATTTTGAAAGTGCTGTTTCTTCCTCATGATTTTTAGGTTTTATCCACATTGATGCATGTAGCTGTCATTCATTCATTTTCACTGTCTTTGGAAGGCACTAAGTAAATACACCACAGTTTATTAATCCATTCTCCCGTGTATGGAAACATCAGTTGTTTTCAGTCATTTTGCTGTTTGTTACCAGCAATGCCATGCTAAACATTCCTGTAAGTGTCTTGCAGGGCACATATCTAAGAGACAAGGATACACTCAGTAGTACTGTTCCTGCCTCATGGGATAAAGACATTTTCAGCTTTATATGAGAATGCCAAGTTCTACGCACCGTTTCACAGACTGTACAATTCACAGCCCCATCAGCAGGTGTATAAAAGCCCTCTTGGCTCCACATACTTGTCAATACTTAGAAATTTCAAGACTTAAATATTTTTCCCTGACTAGCAAGCTGAAATGGTATCCTATTGTGTTTTTGATTTGCATTTCCCTTAAGTTGACCATCTCCTCCTTGTTTATAGGCCCTTCCTGATTCCTCTTCAGTGAAATACCTGTTCACCCCATCCAGGAATCATTTGGGCCATTGCCACGGAAGAGTAAATTACCTGTGAGGATTTGAAGGTAGTTCCCCACTGATGCATAGAAATAGGGTTCCTGGAATCACTGAAAGTTGTCACTGGTAAGAGGGTGGACATATAGCTCCATTTCCCAGGAAAGGGGTTACAGTCAAACCTTTTGTGCTTGTGCTTCTTGTCTTTCTGTTAAGACAAGAAGAGGTTCAGGGCTTCCCTGGTGGTGCAGTGGTTGAGAGTCCCCCTGCCGATGCAGGGGACACAGGTTCGTGCCCCGGTCCGGGAAGATCCCACATGCCGCGGAGCGGCTGGCTACAACAGTGAGAGGCCCGCGTACCACAAAAAAAAAAAAGAAAAAAAAAAGAAGAGGTTCAGCACTCTGGATGGAAATAAAATCTCAACCCAAGTAGGTTTAAATGGTAAAGGAATTTATGAGCTCGTGTCCCTGAAAAGCCCAGCGGTAGGTTGGCCGTCAAGCTCAATTGGGTCTAGAAGATGGAGAAGCCATCAGGGCTCTGAATCCATTTCCCTGCTCTTCTTGGACCTCAGCTTTTTCCTCAGCCTGGGTCCTGCCATCATCATCCCCATCCCCATCATCATTGCCTGGACTTACTGAGCATTTACCATGATCCAGGCATCGTTCCAAATGTTTAGTATAATGAAACCATTTAACCCTCTCAATAACCCTCTGTGGTAGGCGCTAGAATCCCACTTCGCATATGGGGAAACTAAGGAGCAGCCGCACAGGAAGTAAGTGACTGTGGCTGCACAAGATCTAAGGATTCTGACCCAGAGCCTGCACCTGGCGCTCTTCCAAGTCTCCCGTGGGAATTCCACCCTTCAGAGAGAGCAGCTATGTCCCAGCGCTCCTTCTCCAGAAAAAGGCCTGAGATTTACTCTAAGTGGACCAGTTTTCGTGACATGCCTACCTGTATTAGTCGGGGTCCCAGAGAGCTAGAACTAATAGGACGTGCCTCTGGGGTTGTGAAGAAGTAGGGACAGTGCTCAGGATGGGGCGGATGGGGGCAGAAAACACAGGAGTGGAGCCAGCGGGTCTGGAGCCTCGGGGGAACCTGGAGCGGCGCGGGAAAGCTCAGAGGGACTGCAGGACTTACGAGGCGGGTCGTTAAGTTACGGAATATATTTTCATGTTTGGGAAATGAAAAAAAAAAAAACCTACTGCTTTTATAATACAAATACAGAAAATAAAGAACTACAAGACATCCTGGATCCTTGGGGTAAACTGAATGGTCGGGTATGGACACTTCCCTGCGGAAATATATCTTCCCTGTGGAGTAGGTTGATCTATATATTAGTTCTATATTTTGGAATTATTAGCTCGATGTTTAATGAAAATATAAATGAGAATATTATTATTTATCTTATAGGATTACCGTGAAGGTAAGAGATAAATAATCTGGGGCTTCCCTGGTGGCGCAGTGGTTGAGAGTTCGCCTGCCGATGCAGGGGACACGGGTTCGGGACCTGGTCCAGGAAGATCCCACGTGCCGCGGAGCGGCTGGGCCCGTGAGCCATGGCCACTGCGCCTGCGCGTCTGGAGCCTGTGCTCCGCAACGGGAGAGGCCACGGCAGGGAGAGGCCCGCGTACCGCAAAAAAAAAAAAAAGAAAGAAAGAAAGAAAGAATCTGGAGGTCCCTAGACAGATAGAAGGGCTTATCATTTCTTTCTGTGCCTCTTTGCTTTTTTTTCTAGCGAGCTCCTTCTGTTACATGGTCTGTTCAGCGCTGTGTCCACTAGGGGGCAGAGGAAGAATGGGCTGGAGATTGGAAAACGTAACCAGAGACCAGAGCTACTTAACCCATGTTCAGACATTGTCAATAATGTTTACCGTCATTTCAAAGTGGGTTCAAGATTAATAAGACTAGACATCTTAACTGCCTTTGCTCAACTCATTTTCCCCTTCATGTGCAGGATCCTCTTCCATAATTTATCAAATCCATTCCTGTAAGTTTCCCTTAAGGCAAAGAGTGTAATTTTCTATCGTGGGAAAGAAAATCATTTATTTCTTCAATTTTACGACTTTCTTTTGTAACTTCTTACAGCACCTGAGAATTACTGGGTACAGTTATAACCCACTAAATTTGGCAGTTCTCATTGGGAAGAAACTAAAGTCGTTATCTGTTTCAAACAGACCAACGGCTTGACATCTACAGCTACGACACTGCAAAACAAACTTGAAACATCCCAGGAGGGCGAGCCGGTGGGGGGGCCAGGAGGAAAGAGACCTTCCCTTGGACGCCCCCTTTAAGAAAAAGGGGAAATAAAAATTCAGAACGGAAGTACTATTCGGTGTCCTTTAAGTTGGAGGGCAGAAAGATTTTTCCATCGGAGCAAACTGCAATGACATTAGCTCCCTCCCCAGGTCATGTGCTTTCCAACACTGCCCTGGCTCTGATACCCGGCTACTAAACTTGTTTGCTCTGTAACTAATGTTCTACTTTTTCCAGACCTAACTGGCACTTCTCCTACCCAAGTTGAGATCACATGGCTAAGTAGGTCGGATCACTACATCCTGACGATGCTGTGTCTCATGTTTCAGATTCCGTTCCCAGCTCCCTGCAGGACTCAGAGGGTCTGGTGCAGGAACCCTGGCAGGAACATTCTAGCAAAATCCAGGATTTCACTAGCCAAAAGAACCCGACTTCCAATCTGTGAAGGGAATAACTTTATAACTTGTACAAGGATCAAAGGAGCACATAAGCGGAGAAAGAGAAAAGAAAATGGAAGAACATCTCAAAGAAAAAGATTTTCTTAAGGAAAAAAGGGACATAAAATTTCTACAGTAGAAACTTGTCTCCATGATTCACTTTCAAGCTCTGGTCAAAGAAGAACTTTCTGGAAAAAGTTTTCATCCTTGTGATGACCTTGCTCACTCGGACATGACTTTCGGGTGGCCTGAGGACTCACACAGTTGTGAGGCTGCCCTTGTTCAGAACGTTCCTGGCAAGCAGGGTCCTTTCCTCAGGGATCCTTTCTGCTCAGCGAGCAGGGAGGAGGGGGCAGTGGAAGAGCCAGGGACACTTCAGACAAGCTCAGGTCAGACAGGCTTCCCTCTAACCCCAGGTGACACAAA